TGAAACGTTTGCAAGAAAAGAACCAAGCTCAGAGAACCCCAAGGACTCTATAATCTGAAACTGTTGAACACAAGATCATTTGAAAATCCCACCAGCACAAACCATAGAAAAAAAATGAGATTGTCAGTCTATCAATCTGGAATATATTTCTACCATACTTGCTGTTTTCTGGTCCTCAGAAGAATTACCAAGGACATTTTTATAGTCCACAGAATCTGGTTGGTGTATCACCAGATACATTCAAACACAAGTCTGATGCATACAATGAATTCAGGCACCCCATCCTTGATTCTACTTCAAAGTATATTGCAAATCCTTACAATAAGAAAGATGGGTACATCTGAAACCTTAAGAGCAATATGTTAGCGATAACAGCAAATTTAGAATTGGGATAAGTGTGGAAATTGATACTCTGAATTTGGGCCTGGCTCACAAGAGGATTACGTGCTGTTGCTTAATAGCCCTATCTATCAACATTTTCCACCAGTTCCAAGCAAATATAGTACTAGCAGAGGAAGTTACAGAGAGCGGACATGTTTTGTAGGAGTCCGTTTAATTGTAGACGATGCTTTTGAGAGCATGAACTTCTGCTAGAATATATTGGATTAGCAGCATTCCAAGGCTTCTTGCATACATATATTCATCAAATATAAATTAGCAGCCTTCAAGCATTCGATGCATATATTCATAGCTGCCCTTAATCCTAAACAAACTCCCCTCTTGAGTTTTAACCTACCCATCAGGTGTATAAGTACAGGGCTAGCAGTATCATGATTCATAAAAAAACAATCAAAGCCCCCTTTATTATCACACCAGTCCCAAAGATTATGGCACATAGATTTATGATGAGCTTATCTTCTAACCTTTAACCCCAGTAATTTCTATTTCTGTTTTATGCTTTACAGTTCTTCAGAAAGTCCAGATTTTATTTACGCTTCGTTGCTGCTGCATAAAGACTAATAGCAACAGAGGCTGCTGGCATGATGTTTACAGAGCGGTTCTGACTTTCTACAAATTTACAGCTCACTGAAACGCTGGGATGAAGCTCAAGCAGGCAGCTGGGAAGAGCTCCACTGCCTGAGAGATGCATTTAAACTGAAGTTTTATAGGACATAAAACTTTCATAGCTGCAAACCATAAAAAAAGGGGGGAGTTCTATTTAAGCTGCTGCAGCTGGGGCCCTAAATTTTGGAAGGCACCAGGCTCACAGCAAATCTCTCTTCATTTCCTTCTTTCTTTTTTGGCTAAAGATGAACCCTATGAGACAGACAGCAATGAATGAAGTAGCAATGAATGCTAATCAATACATGCCAATATTTTTATCCTTCACTTTTGCCACGTTCAGTCTATTAACGTTTTGTCTTTCTACCCATCGATGACAATCCACTTTGCTGCTATCCAATAACAAGGCAATTACATGAAATGTAGAAAATTCTGGAATTCATACAGATTTTCTTTTTCATGCTCCCAAAGGTGCAGAGTTAATGCATGCTTAGCTTTGCCATAGCTCTGCACCTCTGCAGCTGCTTTTTCTCATCATCATCATCATCATCATCATCATCATCATCATTTAAGAGATCCTAAAGACTCTGTT